AGAATGCATTTAGCTAATACTTGAACTTTGCCTCATTTTGAGCAACTGTTGGGAGATTCCTCTCATAAATAAACAACCAAACCACAGCTGGCTACTGCTCAACGTGCACCCTCCACCCCGCTCCACCTCGCCAACCCCTATCTTTGTGTTTTCATGTGACAGAAGGGGCAGCCACCGGGACAGTGGTACTCTAAACTAACCGCTATTTTGGACAATGTTTCCTGTAGAGGACGGAAAGCTTTATCTCCTGGGGTAATATACACCCAACCTCCCCTCTCCATTTGCTCAACAAAAAGAACTTCACCCCTCTCCAGAAACCACCCCTCTTCTTCCTGTTGTGTAGTGTCTGCTTCAACACACCTGTCATTATTGGCTGTGGTCAGTATTGGCTGATTCTTGCTCTCTTCCAGGAAGCCGCTGACCTCTTTGATTTCCCACAGCCTTCCTGTTGTGATGACTGGTTCCAGTTTTCTCAGCCCGCTGGCAACAAGCCTAAATAATCCTTTCCGTCATATAAAACAAATATCCCAGTCTTACTCATAAACAGCATATCCTGCTTCAAGGGAGGATTATAAGGGATATGCTTTCTTAATACATTTTTAAAGCCATATGCTTACCATATGCCAGAGATATCTCACACTCTGGAAACAACCTCGAATCTGAGGATGTGAAGTGAGATGATGCACAGCAGGAGAATTTAAGACTAATGCCTAAAGGGCTGTCTAACACGATTAGCTGAAGTGGTGGGATGTCTGTAAGACAGCTGATAACAAGAGTATGAGGATTGATCTGAGGCTTCTCTTAAGTGATATTAGAGAAAGCTTTGTATTCTTTTGGAAAAGGGCAACCAGACCAGATATCAGTCAGCCTGTTGAAATAAATGGCCAAGAAACCTTGATTTTCCTGCATTACGGCGGGGAAATGTTTTTTTATCTTCACATGGAGTAAACGTATTTGTTGCACTTTCATATTGCCTTGTTTACTTGACACCTTACTAGCAATCCTATGAGAGTACAAAAGGTGTTCTAATGCTTCCCTCTCTTCATCCACAACAATCAAACACCCGGTTGGTTGCTGCAGGATGTGGGTGTAAGAAGAGTATTGTTCGTTTGACAGGTTTGAGTGTGGGTGAAGACAATATGCCTCCCACAAACCAGACCCTTTCTTAGAGCCCATACTTTCTTGCTCATTGCTCAACTCTCTTACAGCACATGTGAACGTCTCTGTGTCTGCAGGCTAAAAATGGTACAAACTGAAAAATGTCACAATAAAGAAAATAAAAGTAAAAATATAACTTCCTCAATCCCTCATGTCTTTCAACCCAATTCTGTCTACAATCTTGTCAGTACTGGATGTTGCCGATATGACTTACATGCACACTCCACCATCTACACTTCACAGCGCTCTGAGATTCAGATCAGGAGAAGAGCTCATCACTGTGACTTGTACAGGAATGTAGGTTGGCCCCTCTCTGTTAGTTAGAAGAGACCTGCACTCCTCAGAATACATTTATAAAGCACTACCAGGAAAACAGGCAATTTATTTTCTACAGCACAGGTAGCGGCTCATTCTGGAGGTTCACACATGCAAAACACAGTGGGCTTCTCTCACTTGACCACTCTGTATGAGTAAATGTTGAATGAATGAATGTTTTCTCCCTAATAATGTGCCCACAGATCTCTTCTCACACCAGTTGACCAAACCTTCGATGCCCATCTTACCAAATTGCCCCTGCCTGTCAATCACCTGTAACATTCAACCACTGCGATCATGGCTCCCTCTCAAATGTCACTGTTTCTTTTGAATGTCCGACGGCCTGATAAACCACTGACGGGTGGATGTCATAATCATGCAGGTGGGTGGAAATTGAACCAAAACAAGACCCCAGACCTGATTTCAAATGTCCAATATTCCAGTGAATGAGATTATTAACAAGACCCATTTGTTGTGTAAAAATATATGTTGAAATAG